AATTTTCCAATAGGAATGCAACTGGATTTAATAGCTGTTTCCAACTGGAAATTTCCAGTTAGAATAGTATACTGAGGACCCTCCAGCTGGAATACAGTTTACAGCTGAAATTCATATGCATCAGTTGATGGACCTCCTGCAAGAATGGCCAACAAACTCATTCCACCAGTGGTATTGCAATTAGGGACCAATCTGGATCTGACTTTACTTTCCAGCTGTTACTCAGTTGGAATGGGGCTCAATTTCCAACTGGACCCCAGCTGGAAATTATAGCTGTTTCCAACTGGGATTTTAAACTAGGAAGACATCTAATCACGAATCGCCAAAACCATGCAACGCCGGGTCTCGATAACTGGAAAACGTCCTCCACATACCTAACAGGATTTACCGTATTGTGCTGCTTTATTATGAAATGAGTGGACAGCAAATTATCGTAAACTCCTCCGAAAGAGAGGAATGCAAGCAACTTCCCACTTCTGTTTCGTTGATTCATGCCCTTCTTTAGTGCCCATTCACTACTACTGGGTTCCTGGAGCACAATGACATTTTGCACAGAGATTCGAAATGCATGTTTCTATTACTCCCTAGTGATAGGAGGAGGTTCCTGGGCATGCCACTCGTTGGGATGAATAGTCACGTGGGTATGATGCAATTGGAATTTTATATGTCAGAAGTGGTTTTACTTTTGATAAAGAAAATTCCAATTGCAACTTTGATTATCTCATTTGAATTAATATTGAATCAATATTAGTTTTAATACTTCTAATATTAATTCAAATGAAAAAATCAAGATTGGAAAGGGTGGGGGGAATCGACTGCAGGTCTGTGGAGCTCATTTCCCGGGCGACTTATCAGTAGGGCTGTGCCGGTTATCGCCATATTGCGATATCGTTCGATGTTTGTCTTATCGGCGATATGTCTGCATATCGCGATATTTTAATTTTGAAAATAATTATTTTTTTCCCTCTATTATCGCGGGAGAGGGGAAACGGAGCACACGAACCGCGCCATTAACAATAACGGCACAGGACGATGTAAGGATAGACTGTTGGCCTTGACAAAAACCGATGAGATGAGGGAGGGAGTTAGTGGATAATCTGAGGACTGCAATCCTCCCCGGTGGTTTCTTTACCTGGAAAATTTCTTTGAGGCGAAATGATGGAAATCAGCACTCGGATTCAGTCAGCCCCTGAGTATGATGAAACCACGGCCAATTTTTGTTGATGGAAGAGAACTGGAAACTCATACCTCACGCTCGTGGAAAGTCTGTAATGTGGAAAGCGTTTAGAATTTATTCTCGCAACGAATGCAGTACCCATCCGGAATATGAAAAAGTAGCCGCACTGAAAGGAAAAGAGATTCCAGTTTCTGGGAATACGACCAATCTCTCGCATCTTGCGACCTCAATTTGATTGTGGCGATAATCGAGTCTCGCCGCTAGAAAGACCACTCCATCATTCTTTGCAACTTCTCCTGTCTGGGACGAAGTGGAAGCCCAGTTCCGAGAAAAATCGGTTCCCGGCACGTCAGGCTTTAAACGCTTGAAGTACCTTTCTTTGAAAGAAAAAACGGAAGACCTTGAAAACCACTCACGGGCTCATGACTCTTTCACGGTCGCATTTCGAATCTGACAATCTACCATCGAGTCCATCACGGCCTCCAGCAAGAAGTCATACAGTACAAGGCAATCATCACTTTCCTAACCCACACGGACAGCTACGAACCTGCAGAAGCAGAGCCGCAGGATGAAATCGATGACATTCATCTCGTTCGATCTTATATTAATAAAGCGGCGAAATGGAGATCGATGACCCACCGATATGGCAGAGTCATAACGGAAGGAGACACCCGTCGCTTGCCGACTTGGCTCGCAAATACCTGCGAATTCACGAACTTCCGTCCCGTGTGAGCGACTCTTTTCGAGATATAAATTTTTCGCAAACGAATATCGTGCATGCTTTGCAACAGAGATCGTCGATATGTTCTCTCTCATAGGTTTGAACTACCATGATGTCATGCATTCAAGATCATGTCTGAATCATTACCAAAATAAAGAGGTTTTGTCCTGAAATAAATGTGCCATTATTACCAACCCCCCCCCCCGATTGAATCCTGACGATATCGCGATATCGGACGATATATAGGTCAGCGATAATCGATACTCTAAAAATCCATATCGCCCAGTCCTACTTATCAGCATGATAATAAGCAGAAAACTAGTGCTTAATCAGAGATAGTTCGTAGAGCAGGAGTAGGAATTAGGGTTCATTCTGTTTGGGAGATATCGTCAATTAACCATGTCCGCGTTTTGAGGTGGATGGAACTTCCTTTGTAGCATCTTCTTCACGATGGCGGGGATCCCACGTGGGTCTCTGAAACTTTGCATCATATTATTGTTAATTGGTCTTCAGAATTTCGCCCAGATCCAAAAGTCGTCCCACTCAAATATTCGACATTTAGTTCAATCTACAGAAACGATTTTCTGCGTCATGAGAGGTGCTCACTTCAAGTGAAGCTCTCCGATTACAACACATGGATCTAGATACATGGTTTACAACAAATGGATTAGAGCGGGGCATTCAAATACTCGAGTTTCACTATTTTGGTTTTCTCCATAGTTGCACAGAGAACACAGTGTGACTCAGTCTTGGATCTATTTATGGCTATCTGCTTCACCATGTCACCAAGGTCCATCCGAGTAGCGGGGGTGAATACAAAAATCAGCGCTGTTCGCGATTCTGTAACGCTACTTCGATTCCTATTGTGTCTACTGGCCGTCTACCAACGAGCCGAAAATCACAAGCAAATCATGCACGAATTGCGCAAGCTGCATTTCGTTGGGTTGTGCAGATGAATGTTGATTTCCCTGACCGTCCTAGGTCAAGTTGATTACTAAGCCTAGCATCCTCCATCCTGCCAGATCACGTCCGAGTCCTTGCGCGCACCACCCTCTAGTCAAGAACCACTATCAGCCTCACGTGTTAGTCTAACCAGGCATCGCATAGGTCAGCGATACTCAACTTTCTCTTCGAAACTGCACCCTTTTCAGACAGCGAGATGTCAACGGCACAACAGCACATCCGCGAATCTCCATTTGCGATGATATAAGTTCAACCCCTGACCTCTGATTTTGTTCATGACATGTCTATTTTGAACTGGCACTTGGAAAAACCATCATTTCGAAAAGTTATTCAAATTCTTCAAAAAAATTTCCCTCCTCCAATGTAATAAAAGCCTGCCTTTGATTGACCAGAAAATCAAGATGCAGCTCAAATTTTGAAGCGACCCCACGCAGTTCAATTGTAATGCTTAGATGGGACCTGAACTTATTTATTATTAACACACGAATAAGAGAAGGTAGACATACATATCTGGCAGCAAAAAGCAATATGCGTCTTTTTGGCAGCAACAATATTGATCTTGACATTCCTCCTTGATATAAACTTTCTTAATAAAAGTGCATACCAAGAGTACGCAATATGAGACAATTTTGATTAGACTTGACTCATATTGCATACTCCTGGATGCACTTTTATTAAGAGTGGCCTGAAGTCAGGAGTGTCGCACTTTTGATGCGAATCTTCAGAAGAGAAGAGGTTTCCTGCCCGCTTCTTATAGTGCTTCTCGAATACACCAGTTAAGCAGCATACGTAGTAGACTTCTGGCATTCTTGCACTACTTTGCCAACAGGCCAAAAAGAAAATACTCCCAACTCCCACGGCACCCTTGTCAGATTCTCGCGGCGCGCAGGTTGAGAACTGCGGACATAGGGAAATAGCAATCCAGGTCTGCCCCTACGTAGGTCAAACGAGGGTCCGTTATCTGCATCAAAGGTTTGAGTTGAAGGACCGAGGAGTTCATGAATTTTGGGAGTAGATGAGAATTGAGGGAGGGCCATTTTGAATACGAGTTGCTGATTTTTAAAAAGTCATAACTCTGAGCCAGAGCCAAAGACCAATGGCCAAGAAAAACGAAGTTCAAATCAGCAGCATTTGAGGTAGCATGAAATGAAGATCGCTAGGTTTTTTTTCTTCTCAGGACGGTCAAAGCAAGCAGACTGGAGAAACGGCCACACGTTTTCCGTTTTTAACTTTTTGGAGGGCAGTTCCTCTTGTCAACCTAAAAAAAACCTATCCGAATAATGCCTTTCTAGAGAGAGGTAGGAAACAGTATCATGATATAGGAATTAATGAGGCTTCTCCAAGCAAACTTTCAATGGTCAAAATTTGGTCATTTTCAGAGGCTGACGTTATTGTTAGAATCACTGCTTTCCTTTTGAAATGAGGCCATAATCAAAGTGCTACCTTCATAATTTTTCCTGGTATTAGTCTTTTAAGGAACCCTACTTTGGTTTTGAGAGAACCCTGCCCCCGAAGTAAAAAAAAAAATCCTACAGCCATTACTAGGCATCTGATGAATCAAGCAAGAGGCCAAAGCGACTCATGTTACAAATATACATCATAAAGAAAATCAGAAGTGGACGACTTTTTCTCAACAGGGTGATTTGGGATGGAATGACCGTCTTAGTTCTCCAAGCTCATCAGAATGTAAGAAGCCAATAAGAAATTCCATAAGATCAAAGTCTATATTGCTGAGTTTAGCTGCCATCCAAGAAAGAATATAACTTGCTTCCTATTTGAAGCTAGCCTAAGTGTAAAGAGGAACCAGGTCAAGGCATTATATTTTGATAGACTTTCATCCCTCAATAGGGATAGCTCCACTAGGAGCAGGAGATCCCTTGTCCTTCTGTCTCAGCCTTCTATCATAACGAAGTAGCTTGGAGACAGCATCAACTATGTATGTATGTTACCTTCATCAACTATGTATCTCACATAGTTGATGAAGGTAACAAGAAATTAAACAAATACCATCATCTGTGTCAACCAAGATCAATACGTTGACCAAATTTCTCAAAATCTTTTTCTTGGGATGCATGTAATGACTGACCTAGGGATATTACTTGAGAGAATTGTTAACTTTTAAAGGAATGAAATCATACCTGTACGAAATTCATATTTATTTTAAAAAAGAATACAAAAAAGCCAAGAAAGGAAAACAATATAATTTTTCCATATTTGTACTCAAGTACTCTTCAATGGACGGAATCAGGAGCATTGCAGTAATCAGGGCAATGATCTTACTTAGTACTCAATGAATTCTCAAAAACAAACAGTAATGCAAATCACACACAACAATGATATATGTTGTACTATATAATGGATTCTCTTAAAGCAGTAGTTCACAACATGGTACTCATGTGCCAGTGCTACTTAACAATACCAAGAAAAGAACTGAATCTAGAGTGAGCACACTCTGAAAAGAAGTAAAATTGGAAGTTGTGAGTCACTCATGTTAGGTCTACATGGGTATAGAACAATTTTCAGTTCACAAGTAACATCCTTCATGTTCATTGGTAGGTCAATGGTGTTTCCCTTAACCTCTTTAGGCTCTTGAAATTTTCTATTGGTGCTCTTGGGTAAAAAAGGCTGAGGGCAACTGTCAAGAATTGTACAGTATGAATTTCAATATTTTTTAGATTTACATCTGAGTCAAGTATGAGGCTGAGGAGTGCTGGTAGAGTTGAAATTGGAGAAAGGGTGTAGAGTAACTTTCAAGTATGTGCCTTGATCACAACACGTAGAGAGTGGACTAGACTGAGATAACTAGCAGCTTGCATGCTTGTGCATTAAAATGATAAAAAAAGAGACTAGATATTGGAGTTGGTGACAGATACTATTCTGGTACCAGTGGACCATCCTCATGGGATGTAACACAACTTTAATCACATGTTCTTGTCAGAGTCATCAGGGGGGCCAAACTTTTGCAGCTCCCTTTTGATAGCTCTGATGACAGGAATGGCAGGATCAAAAGCATGAAGTCCACTCTCAGGATCTCGTAATTCTATTCCTGACCCGGGACGTCCTTTTCCACTTCCCAACCAGGCAGACTTGGGAACTATTGGACTTCTGCCTCCATCCCGGGAATCAGGACTTGGAGGGGGAACTGTGGGATGACGGGAGCTTCTGTCATCCCCTCTCAGGATGGCGGAGATTGGCCTTGCTTTCTCTGGCCTTTCAAATGCCACTCTGAAAAATAACAGAAGAATATTTAAAAAATCCTTGAAATTGGGAAACTTATCAATAGAAAAGGTTGAACCCCTCTTCCTTCTTCATTTAATGAAGGTTTCATAGACAGACTTCCAAATGGAAATACATACACTAATCAACTAACAGCCTATAATTGAATTACCTAAGTTTCAATTGATTCCCATATCACACCTTGAATGGATCCTAAGCTGCATAATACAGTTTCATTTCCATAATAAAGTCAAGAATAGGATGAGGAGAAATGATGGTATAGTCAATGCATTTATAATACAACATAAAACAGGATGATTTTGCCAGATTTATGGAAAATTTGAAATAAAGACTCATATGAGTTATCATGCCATGCTTACATCAGCCCTTCATCTGATGCACTAGTACTAGTACAAGGTGCGTTCAAGTTCTAAGGTCTCCTAATTTTTTTCTGACAAACTACTTACACCAGAAAGTTGAAACTTCTGTCACTTCTCAACATGATCTCCCTGTAGACGAACACATTTTTCACAACGTCGACGCCATGACTCCATGGCTGCCGCGAACGCTTCTTTAGGGGTCTGTTTTGCNCTCGTGCGGCAGCTACAAGAACCCTGTGCGCTGTACAGTGCTGCCATCTCGTTCATGCATAAACAAAGAGTACCAGTACCCGCGTATTTTAAGCTCAAACGCATGTTTCTTTCTGCACCCAGTCCCCAGAAAAAAATTAGGAGACCTTAGAACTTGAACGCACCTCGTACCCTATTATTAGAAAATTATGAGAATCCAACATGACAACCAGAATATCAAAGGCAGTTTTGCTCAATGTGGGAGCCTGAGAGGAGTTGTAACAGGTCTAATTAGGGACCAATGTGGAAGGAGAATGTCCTGAATCTCTTCAGAATGTTCAGTAATTCCCATTTAGTGAGAGATGAGGTAATCTATGCATGCTCTCAAACGTGCACAAGGGAAAGTGTAGTTATAAATGACCTACCTGACATCGGCAGACTTTGCACGGATACCAGGAACAGAGATGCTTTCCCCTTCTGTAATACCCTCACGGGAAATTTCCACTGAAGCTATACTAACGCGATTGCCCTTTGAGGATTGAGGAGTAAACATTCGGAATGCATCATCCAGAATCTCATGGAATTTCACCTTCATTTTTCCTATCCCCTCCTCTCCTTCATCTATGCATCCTTCATTGTGTGCATCTGCTTCACCATCTGCATGCATGAGAAAAGGAAATATAAAAAGGATCCTGAAGGATAGAAAGGAAAGTACCGAAAATGTGTGCAAGAGGCTCACGAAGTATGAAGGAATCTGGTTGTGTGAAAGCATCGTGAAGCTCAGGTTCGATTTGAACATTTTCATCAACAAAGGAAACGGAGGGTGCAGGGCTTTCACTGGCCTCCCTGATGATGGCACTGATGGGACGTCCTGGTTTCTTTTTCAGTCTACCAAATTTTTCCTCTTCTCTGCCTGATCCTTTTTCCACATCTTCCTCTTCCATGTCTGTAATGATTGCCCCTCGGCTGAGTTTCATCTCATCTCTCTTCCCTCTTCCTTCGATTTCCTCACTCATCCTTTCCTCCTCTTCATCCTCTTCCCTCCCTTTCCCTCTTCTTTCATGGGAGCTCCACTGGTGTTCTGTTGGTCTCTTCCCTCTTCCATTTCTTTTTCTCTGTCCTAAGGTAGAACCCGTGAGCAACTTCTTCTCTGAGTGTTGGCTAGGGCTATCAACAACCTGCAATTGCACATTATGCAAAGTGGTTCAACATACATTCAGTTGGCTGTAAATTTTGACAAGAACTTGAAGCTATAAACAAATAGGTCTATACCACTTGAAGTTTTATTTATCCACCTTGGCTCAAAAAGGGACCAAGGTTAACTTGGCACATATTCAGCTTTGAGTTGGGCAATCATTGTTAACCTCAAAATCACATTTTAGGCTTGAAGCAAAATAAAGAATGTGACAAACATCTACTAAAACTTTGAAAACTTACTAAAACTTTGAAAGCTTAAGCTCACCTTGTTATCCTCAGACTCGCCAGGATCAAAGCCTAGGTTGATGGTACCAACTGGCCCTGAATGTGATTCCTCAAAAACTTGCTGCTCATTTTGAATGCACTGGGTGGATTCTCTTCTTGTGGGTCTTGACTTTTTTATGTATTTGATGAGAAACAGCAGGAGAGCAATGAGGAGGAGGCTTAGAAATCCACCACCAACAATTGCTCCAATCACCCAGGAGCGCTTCTCTGATTCCCCATTATTTCCATGCAGATCTGAGAAAAAAAGGAAATTTATACTTCAAAGATTGCTCTCCATTGGTAGGGCCCACATCTGAAGAGGAGCTGTGAAAGCTTGAAAAGATGTCATGTCAATCACTAGAAATTCCAATAGCACAAATTAGCAAATCCTAAGTTGCAGCTACATTTATATCATCTGAATATAAACATTGGCAGATTCTTACATTCTTCAGTGAGCACCAAGGAGTAAGGTGAAACATGCTTGATCCTTTCTTCATCTCCCAGAAGAAGGAGATCGTGCACGGCACTAGAGGATAAGACTGGTCTCTCTTCATGGAGGACATAATAAATTGTCTCCATTGTATCTGGCTTCATCATAGAGCTCTTCACCATCTGGACTCTGATATTGAGAGAGCTTACACGCCTCTTCCTTCGCTGAGAACTCCTTGGAAATGTGCCAAGATGTATCTGCTGGTGTCTAATGAATGCATACTCATACATCCGTTCCAGCTTCCGTCGTACATCTTCCATCAGGGTATCATCCAGATGACCAGGAACATTGGAAATCACAGTGCGAATCCAAAATTTCTCTTCTGGATGCCTGTCAAATTGAGGGAGTGGTCTAGAAGGAGGGGTGTGTTCAGTAGGACTGGGGTGAATTGGAATCAAAGGATCCTGAATAGAGGTGGTTACAGTGGTGAAGGTGGCTGGGCTATCACTCATTTCAGGTCCTGTCATGTACACAGTGGATGCCACCCAATGTGCTTCATCCACAGATGAGATTCCAGGTTGATGAGCCCACCATCTTGTCAGGTGTAATGGATGCTCTCCATTTGAGAAACTATCTTCATCAAAACTGCCATGGAGCCAATTGACATCTTCTGGAGTGAATCCAAACACATCTTTGACTGCATCTCCCATCCTCCTAGGGTCCCCAACAAAATGATATGTTTGCCTCATCCAAGGGCCACCGACTAGCTTCTGGGATATAGTTGCTTGGCCTTCCCAAGTGGAGAGAGATATGGGAAAGAAAAAACATACCCAGTGAGTCTTCTAAACCAAGAAATGGGCCTCTAAAGCTTAGACAGCTTCAACTAATTTTAAGCAGCCACTTGTTTAACTTGCTTGGTGCTCATGTTAAACTTAGGCTCTTTGTTGCACTGTAGAGAGTGAAATATTTATCATGATTTCATCCAAAACCAGTAAGTTCAATGTTTAAATGAATGATATTTAATCATGAATGACATGTTCTATTCAAGCCAAGAATGGGACAAGCCATGAAGTAGAAAATTAAATAGAGAAAGAACAAATGTCACTTATGAAGTAAAACGTCATACTAGCTTTGGTCTCAGTAGCATAAGCACAAACAAGGGAAGTTGTTCAGGACATCTGAACTTCCCCATACATCTGAAAAGAATACTCCTGCCTTAAAAGTGCTTAAGCACGGGGAGTGAGCGAGTACCTTACTTGCAATTACAACAGACATATTTCTGCTAAGCAACCCCCTCCCCCCCATGCTCCTTCACAGCCTCAAGAACTTCATCATCTGATTGCAGTAGGTAGGCAGTAAGTACAGGTGAACCCCTGCCCCCTCCAAAAATTTGAGTCTGATACATCACTGTTAGATATACACTTGAAAACTCATCTGGACTTTTTAGAAAGGAACAGAAAATGCAACGAATGGGGAATGCCAAAATCAATGAACATGCACTATGAAAGATAACAAATAGCAACATATACTCAGAAGCCTAAGAAGGCATATAGGAATTTCGTTACCTTGACATACTTCGCATTAAGCAACTACTTCTAACCTTGTTCATGCTTCTGATAACAGTTTAGCAACTACAAGTGTTAATCTAGAAATACAGTCAAGTATGGATGAGGCCAGTCATTTGACAAGAGCCTGAGCGTACCAGGTCGACCACCAGGATGCAGTTTAGAGGGAGCAAGGGATGTGGTGCTGACATTCAGACAAAAACAGCAGGTTGACAGAGTCATAATACTTAGAAGGATACGCAAGGCACTCCAGGCAGTTGGAATATGGAATACTCTTCTGAATGCTTCCTCAGCCATTCCTTTCCATAGGCTACACCTATGCCTTTATGCAGGCCTGTCACTCTGTGGCACAAACCATCACACTGAGTCCTGCAAATAGCCACCACTCATGTAATTAGTTACACAGCTATATCCAAGTGGCTAGCTACATTGCAGAGGCTGAAAGTACCCTAGATGTGCTTGGATCAAGCTTCTATGCTTCAGGCATGCATGTGCTCCAGTGCTTCAAGAAGGCTACCTTTTCCTCACATAGGCAAGAGTATAGTAAAACTTCTAATGTAGGTATAGACTTAAGGCACCTTTATACTGGATGAAAACAGGAACCAAAATCAGAAAAGAAACTTAATTTCTATTTCCTGTTTTACAAACACTGCATGTGATTAGTGGAGTCCATTGAAAGCCTCCGGCAGAACTTCTATCATAGAAAAACACTGCTATCACATGACTAGTCAAGTTGGTTTACAAAAAAAAAAATGAATGGAAGATAATGGAGTGATGAAAATCTCTTCAGGAGACTGCACTGAAAGGCAAAAATAACCAGATCTGGTAATAAATTGGTATACTCTGGTATCTATCTGGTAATTGGCATAGAGGCAATATATAAGATTTAACAAAAGTCAGGAATCAAAGGTCCTATCCTATCCTGTGGTCCTATTACTCCTGAATTATGTTACATCTTGTATATCAAAGAACATTTGGGAAATATCAATTGTGCATTGAAAACTCTGTGAGGGGATTCATTTGTGCAGCAAAATTTGATCAATATATTTTTCTTGGCATGGACAATCCTCATTTATTGGCATACTGGTATTGTTATGCCATGCAACAAGATGCAAAGGTTCTGAGACCATCCAAGGCCAGCCTCATTACTTTCTGAGATAGGGAAAAAATTTGCTAGTGTAGAAACTAGTATGCATGTGGCACCAGCGGTTGAGATTGGCGTCTTATTTGCTGTCTATTTATGGTATGCAAAGGGCAGACAGATTTTCACCATGGATACGTGGGATACATGGAGAATTTAATGAGAACCTGCCATCCTGTACCCCAATTTATTCAGCAAACGTTAGAGAATATTNTTTCCATAGGCTACACCTATGCCTTTATGCAGGCCTGTCACTCTGTGGCACAAACCATCACACTGAGTCCTGCAAATAGCCACCACTCATGTAATTAGTTACACAGCTATATCCAAGTGGCTAGCTATATTGCAGAGGCTGAAAGTACCCTAGATGTGCTTGGATCAAGCTTCTATGCTTCAGGCATGCATGTGCTCCAGTGCTTCAAGGAGGCTACCTTTTCCTCACATAGGCAAGAGTATAGTAAAACTTCTAATGTAGGTATAGACTTAAGGCACCTTTATACTGGATGAAAACAGGAACCAAAATCAGAAAAGAAACTTCATTTCTATTTCCTGTTTTACAAACACTGCATGTGATTAGTGGAGTCCATTGAAAGCCTCCGGCAGAACCTCTATCATAGAAAAACACTGCTATCACATGACTAGTCAAGTTGGTTTACAAAAAAAGAAATGAATGGAAGATAATGGAGTGATGAAAATCTCTTCAGGAGACTGCACTGAAAGGCAAAAATAACCAGATCTGGTAATAAATTGGTATACTTACCATAGATAGACCATTAACCGTATCTCCGTTATATATTCTAAATTGTTTTCAGTCCTTAGTTTCCAGGATAGGATAGGACACCAGGATAATGAGGACTTAATACAATGTAGAACATATAGTTTCTTCATTTGGGAAATATCAATTGTGCATTGAAAACTCTGTGAGGGGATTCATTTGTGCAGCAAAATTTGATCAATATATTTTTCTTGGCATGGACAATCCTCATTTATTGGCATACTGGTATTGTTATGCCATGCAACAAGATGCAAAGGTTCTGAGACCATCCAAGGCCAGCCTCATTACTTTCTGAGATAGGGAAAAAATTTGCTAGTGTAGAAACTAGTATGCATGTGGCACCAGCGGTTGAGATTGGCGTCTTATTTGCTGTCTATTTATGGTATGCAAAGGGCAGACAGATTTTCACCATGGATACGTGGGATACATGGAGAATTTAATGAGAACCTGCCATCCTGTACCCCAATTTATTCAGCAAACGTTAGAGAATATTATTGAGCTGCGAATACAATTTCAACTTTCAGCAGCTCAATAGCGATGTAGTTTCAGTTACGTGGCATAAGAACGTATCCAATCCCAACTAATTTTTTTTAATTTGAGTCAGACACTCATCATCGTTTCGACACTCGTGCATGAGGAACGCCCCATGCACGACTGCCCAAGTCAACCTAGAAGGGTCAGGGCCTGGTCTAACCTTGGCGAGACAAACTGCATTGCCTAAGGCAGCACCAACGGTCTAGGCCTAAGCTAGTATGGGAGAATCGAGTAATGGGAATCGGGAATGCATGGGATGGGAGTGGCGACCTAGCAGGCAGCCATATCGCTTCCCCATTCCAACTAGCTCCGCCCCACAGGCCACTGTGGTGAGCCTCTTTCTCATGTCGTCACTGCTCTGCCCATTCCTGTGGGAGACGTATGCCAACCTCTGCGCGAATTTCGGCTTGGAAGATAATTAGAACTTATACGTAACTGAAATTATCAGTAGATGTCTCTGGCAAGCATGCGTCAGTGTTCCGGTGATTCAGCCGTGAGACTGTCGAGTTAGGGGAGCGGCACCAGTTAGCGAACGAGGGTCATGAAATGCGATTTGACCTTTTGTTTCTCCAGTTACACGCTCCAGCTGTGCAGAAAAGCTTTCTGCAGAAAATGGATTGATTGATAAATTAATGCTGGGTATGGAGTGTGAAACTATAGTAACGAAAGGTCAGTTCGTATTTCATGATCCTCGTTCGCTAACACCTTGTTCACCAACTGGTGCCGCTCTCCTATCTCCCCTAGGCGCAGACTGTTAAAATGGCAGAAACTACAGGGTGGTAAAAAAAAAAAAAAAGTTCATCAACGAAAAGTGTTGTTAAAACTTCAACTTGATTTTAAAAATCGATGATACTACAGAATTACATGAATCGATATATGTCAAAACAAAGAGTGAAATTTCATAAATGTAGCATAAAATATAGTACAATTATGCATGATCCAAGATATACTCTAAATGCTCGGCGCTGGATGCGTCTCACAAAGTTATTGATGACTCGCTCACATCCGGTCACAGGGATTGATCAGATTTTGACTGTGATGGCATCCTTCAGCTCAGGGATGGGGCTTGGCCTCCCCTGATAGATGCTGTCTTTGAGATATCCCCAAAGATAAAAATCTGGGGGATTGAGATCAGGGGAATGTGGGGACCATTCGACGTCAAAACAGCGATTAATGATTTTCTCACCAAAGTGTTCTGTCAACCACTCTCGACTCGCGTTAGCCGGATGAGGAGTTGCTCCATCTTGCTTGAACCACTGTGCATTTCTAACAATTCCTCTCTTCCGACTAAGACTAGTCCAGAAAGGTACAGTGATTCCAGCAAGACGGAGCAACTCCTTACCCGGCTAACGCGAGTGGTTGACAGAGCACTGGTGAGAAAATCATTAGTCGCTGTTTTGATTCATGTAATTCTGTAGTATCATTGATTTTTGAATAAAGTTTTAACAACACTTTTCGTGGGTCAACTTTTTTGTTGACCACTCTGTAGTAACAGGAAAAAGTTTAGTTCCTCCAGTTGCATCCCAGTCAAAAATTCCAGCTGTAACCAGCTCAGCTACATATACCACCCTAGTACCATCTATAAACCAGCTGGTTTTCAGCTTGTCTCAGCTGTGTATTGGAACATGGTTCCAGCTGGTTTGAAGATGGAAATGCGATATCGCATTTCCAAATGTAAATTGTACCACTGGTTGTCCAAAACTACCTGGCACGGTTTCTTGCAACTCCACTCTGTCTTCCGCTTGGCTCATCGTAAATATGTAATTCTTCGACTGGAAATTAGTTACAATAGTTGCACTGATTTCAGGGCCAGATTATCAAATAGGCAAACAAGGCGTACACGTAGGGGCCCCGAGGCCGCTGGATATGAAGAAAATAGATAAAGGACCTCAAAAGATTTCAACGTGGGTCACCCTTTTCTCCCCCCCCCCCCCCCCCTCGCGAAATTGTACCAAGAGATGAGAGTAGAGGGGAAGGGGGGTTTCTGCCTAGGGGGGCCAGAAATCTTTATCCGGCCCTGACTAAGTTGAATTGTTCAGTTGCCAG